ACTTTTGCTATTGATTTTCCAAGTTCGTGTTTTTGTGAGTATTTGTCCAGTTTTATATTTTTTCTACAGTTTTGCTCTTTTTATTTATTTGCTACAGTTCTGCTCATTGTAGCCTGTATTCTGATGTTTGGGAGGGCATCTGTTTGTATTGTTTTGTAAATAGTTATTCTTCTCATTTATTTGTTTATTTATTTATTGGCTTGTCTTAACTTTAACAGTTCAGTCTTTGCTTCTTCAGCTAATTTCAGCAGTCACACTGGATTTGCACAGAAAATGCACATGATTTTTAAGCATTATTTCTGTTAATGACTCTATGTTTATTTGTTTGACAGTCAGTTTTACAAAAGAATATGCTAAATTTGGCATGGTTGTTGTTCTGGAGCATCATCTGAACTCTTATCTTGAGCTCTAACAAAGCTTACAAGATATCACAATATTGAATGAGATTGGGCATAATAATATTTTTAAAGTTTGACCAAAACTGCTGAAGCTTTATCCCTTCTCATCATAAGATGCTCTTTGTTTTAAACTTTGGTCTTGTAAACCTGAAGCTGCAGGTCAGAGTCTAGGTTGTATCAGGAAGAGCATCTGACATGAAAAAAGTATTAACTCGCCGTGTCTACTCCCCTGCAGAAATTAGCAGCCAAAAGAAACCGAACAACATAGTCTCACTCTAGTTTTATGAAGTCTTATCTCAAAAAGACACCTTGGGTTTTATAATAATATACTGTATGTTGTATTCTTCTCTAGGCAGCACGGTGGTGCAACTGGTAGAGCTGCTGCCTCTCAGCGCGCAGGTCCCAGGTTCAAATCCTGGTCCGGGGGCCTTTCTGGGTGGAGTTTGCATGTTCTGTCTGTGTGTGTGTGGGTTTTCTCCGGGTACTCCGGTTTCCTCCCACAGACCAAAAACATGCATGTTAGGCTGATTGGTAAGTCTGAATTGTCCCCAGTTGTGAATGAGAGAGTGAATGGTTGTTTGTCTCATTTGTCTTGTTTGTCTCTATGTGTCCCTGTGATGGACTTGCAACCCGTCCAGGGTGTCCCCCGCCCCTCGCACAGTGATTGCTGGACATGGGCACTGGCGACCCCCGTGACCCAAAATGGAAGAAGCGGGTAAATATAATGGATGGATGGATTCTTCTCTATTTTTATTATGGTTATTTTTATATTTGCAAATCTGGTGATAGGTTCATTCATTCATGGTTGACCCTATCACCATGGCACACATAGACACACGACACATCAAGGTTGGTCAGAAAGAGATAAATTCTGTTTAGTTGCACACATTTTTCTGGTTTTTTTTTTAAATACATGGGAGAGACATACAATAAAAAATCAGACTTTTGTTCCTTCTGATAAATCCTATAATATGTCAAAAACTCAGAGGTATCATGGACATTCTCATCTCTGAAATGAAAGAATGTTTAAATGATCAACATGAGCTATGACCCTTACATATACAGTAGTTAAACAGAGCTTGATGAATGTGATGGACATAAAGGTGTCTGTAGATCACATCACCTCCCCATCACAAAATAAAATCAACTGTCTTTGAATTAAAAAATAAAATAAAACTGCTGACAATATAAAAATACATGATATTCTACTGTTGTTCATTAAATAAACCAACAATTCATATATAAAATATCATACATGTATAAAAATATGTCTTACAACTTTTTGGAAAAGAGTAACAGCGAACTCCAACATATGTACAAACAAGTAACTCATGAGCAGTAAGAACAAACAAAATAAATATGAATAATGAACTAAGCACCCAAAATTGAGTTGTTGTTTTGCTCACTCACTCACTCACTCACTCACTCACTCACTGACACACACGCACACGCACACACACACACACACACACACAGGTTTGTTTTGCTATCTTTGTGGGGCCTTTGCATTGACTTCCATTCATTTTTCATTCATTTCTATAGCCTAACCATGACCTTTATCCATAACCTAACCATTACCAGTACATACCTAACCCTAAACCTAACACATCCTCAATTCACACCTTAGTCCTAAACCTAGCCCGTAACCCACCAACGGGACTTCTTCTTATGGGGCCCGGGCTTTGGGCCCCATAAGGAGCAGTTGGTCCTCACAATGTAGTATAAGTTGGAAAAATGGGCCTCACAAAGTAGCATAAACAAGGACACACACACACACACATGTGTATGTGTGTGTGTGTGTATGTGTGTGTGTGTGTGTGTGTATGTTACAACCTGGAATCTCAAGCAACAACAGTTCTAAAAACATAGCTTAGAAAATTTAGAAAAGTGTAAAACTGAAAAATAATGTGCACTTTGCACTTCTTAAAACACATCACGTTTTGTGGAGCTTCCCAGCATTATTTGTCTGTTAATACTTTAGTTATTAATCTATTCGGATTTAAGGATTGAATTGTGTCAGAAGTTCAGTGAAGTGTTGCAAATCAGTTGAAATGATGACAGTCAACATATGTGACAGTTCGAGCACGTCTAACAGTGCAGCACAGGCTTGAACACTTGTGTACGTTTTGTGAGAAGCTTGTTTAGCCACAATGCTACCGATATCTTTGGGATCAAAAGGGACATACATTTGAAAAAGTTTCTCAAATCTCAGAGAAGTGATTTTTGTTGTGGACATGTAATCAATAGGGTTTAAAATGTCTTAACCTACCCACCCAATACGACCAACAGCAGCCACTGTGTGCATATGTATTTACCCCCAGTGGCTCGGTGCTATGTGTTACCACCTTTTGCCTCATTTCCAGCATCATGTTTCACATCTGTCTCCATGATCTTGATCCATCTAGCCAGTGGACTTCAAGACCAGTCTTTCAGACCAAACGACTCCAGCATGTCTGGGTTGAATGGGGGCTAATTGTGTTAGAGAATCGTTAAATCCAACCATATATTTTCAGTTGGGTTGAGGTCCGGGCTTTGACTGGACTATTCCAGGACCTCTTGCCGCCACACCAAGGTCACAGACTGTCAGCACTGGTGCCCCATAGGGTTGTGTCCTCTCTCCACTGCTCCTCCTCACACCCAACTGTTAAACTCCTGAAGGTTGCAGACTACCCCACAATCATCTGAGTCATCAAAGAAGTTTACTGAGCAGCTGGTACTTTTGGTGCAGCTTCAACAATGTGGAGCTGAAGATGCTCATGACAGTGGGGCTCAAGAGACACCCCATCATTGCACCAGCTGCTATTCTCTCAGTCTCAGCCCTGGTTTGGGAGTTCTTTCAGCTTGTTCACCGCAAACAATCTTGACAGAACTGTTTTCTTGTATGATGCCCAACCACTTTTGCCTGATTGGTCATAAATTTAGAGTGGGAGTGGTTTATGCAGGAAAGTAGAAATGTTACCATTCCCACTATGACGATTTCCTGAGAGTTCTGCACTTGAGTTTCTTTTTGAAGTATGAAATGTCCTGGCCAGTACAAATATTGCTCTTGTACTTGCCGCCTCGAGCAAAAGAACAATTTTCTTGGTTCTTGCTGTGTATGTAACATACTATACCATATCTGCTTAACTTATGAAGCACTTTAAAAAACCCACAGGATCAAAGTGTTGTATAGTTGTAGTACTTAAAACATAACAGCAGTCACAAGACATAATTAAACTTAAAAAACAAAGTAAAAGCAGCCCTATGATAAAAACAAAGAACTGACAGGGAAGAGGCCTGTCTGATGTCGTTCCACATTTTCACACAGGAGCAGCAACATCAGATGTATGATCCCCTCAAAGCTAATGTTTAATTTTTGGGACACTCAGGAGCAGCTGGTCAGATGACTGGAGAGAACAGGAGGTGGAAGCTGCTCAGTGAGGTAAGGCGAAGAACGATCAAAGTCCAGAAGTTTAACTTTGCTTCAGCCATGGTGTTGCTCTTGATGGCCTAAAATGATAGTTTCATTTGACCACTGCACCATCTGTTCAAGGTTCTGGGATGTTTTTATTAGAGCCCAGTGATGATTGGTACTTTTCCATAACTTTGTCTCTGACCTAAGTGGAGAGTTTCTTGGTCTTAGATAATGTTGCTTGCTTGGTGATGATCTTTACTACTTGGAGGTGTTAAACTGGTGTTGATCCTTGGGCTGTAAGAATCAGGGTTGTTCTGGGCTCCAGATGTCCAGGTGGCATCTGTTTGAAAACTGAGGTCCGGTGGGTCATTTTAAAGCACAGGGGGTAAATACTTATGCATGCACCATGTTTCAGCAGTTTATTTTTTAGTAACTTAAAACAACTTATTTCCCCCCAAATTATTTAAATAGTCAGGAGGATTTTTTTTTTTAGAATTGTTGCTTTTAATCAAATTAAAAATCCAAAAAAATTCCAGGTTGCAAGGTAACAAAATGGAAGGATTACAAAGAGGGATGGATACTTTTACAACCCTATGTATAATTATGCTGCAGAGTAAGTATTCAAGCATGATTTAATGGAAATACTTACTGAAAAATAACATAAAATTAAATAATAAACATTTATTTTTGGGAGTTAGTTATGATGCTATCAGTGTATCTTTGGAAAAGGGGGAGAAAGGACGGCGAGAGAGACACGTGTTGTGTCACTTCACCTGCATAACAGTATTTCAGCCCACTGAGATCAGAACGAACACAGGCAGTGTCAGCTATCCTATAAAGTGACCCAAAACAAAAGAAAGCAAAAAAATCTAGCAGAAAGGAAGGACAAGCAGGGAATACAGAGAACCTCCAGAGTAACATTGCTTGGATTGCTGAGGCAGTTCATGGAGCGTTGAAGTGAGTAGAGGACGCCGCTGCAGCTGTTAAACATTCAGCCAGGTCTTGTTGTTGCTTGTTAGGAGCGTTTGTTTTTCTGAGAGAGAGAGATAGAGACGATGTTGGTGTGTGTTGTTTCCTTATAGGAAGTGGTTTATCCCTGCTACTTCCTGTCCATACAGTGTCTAGCACATGCTACCACCACCCACCTCTACCTGTCCTCCAACTTCTCCTCTCTTTCCAGGCTCTGAGCTGACGGACAGACTTGTTCCTCACTCCCTGTCACACGGCAAACTACCATCCTCTCGTGCACGTGAGGGCAGGCGCACACCGAGCTTATCCACACACCAACATTGGCCACGTTGCATGCCCTTGGAGGAGAGGCACTGTGTGAAATAAAGAGGAACAGAATGTATAGAGAAATTAAGAAAGGGAAAATCAAAATTAATTTAGTGGTGGACCAATACCATTTTCAGGTAGTTGCACTTGTACAAACCGGATTCCAAAAAAGTTGTGACACTAAACAAATTGTGAATAAAAACTGAATGCAAGAATGTGGAGGTGCCAACATCTAATATTTTATTCAGAATAGAACACAAATCACAGATCAAAAGTTTAAACTGAGAGGATGTATCATTTTAAGGGAAAAATCTGTTGTTTCCAAATTTCATGGCGTCAACAAATCCCAAAAAAGTTGGGACAAGTCCATTTTTACCACTGTGTGGCATCCCTCCTTCTTCTTCCAACACTCAACAGACGTCTGGGGACAGAGGAGACCAGTTTCTCAAGTTTAGAAATAGGAATGCTCTCCCATTCATGTCTAATACAGGCCTCTAACTGTTCAATCGTCTTGGGCCTTCTTTGTCGCACCTTCCTCTTTATGATGCGCCAAATGTTCTCTATAGGTGAAAGATCTGGACTGCAGGCTGGCCATTTCAGTACCCGGATCCTTCTCCTACGTAGCCATGATGTTGTGATTGCTGCAGAATGTGGTCTGGCATTATCGTGTTGAAAAATGCAGGGTCTTCCCTGAAAGAGATGACGTCTAGATGGGAGCATATGTTGTTCTAGAACCTGAACATAGTTCTCTGCATTAATGGTGCCTTTCCAGACATGCAAGCTGCCCATGCCACAAGCGCTCATGCAACCCCATACCATCAGTGATGCAGGCTTCTGAACGGAGCGTTGATAACAACTTGGGCTATCCTTGTCCTCTCTGGTCCGGATGACATGGCGTCCCAGTGTTCCATAAAGAACTTCAAATCGTGACTCATCTGACCACAGAACAGTCTTCCATTTTGCCACACTCCATTTTAAATGACCCCTGGCCCAGTGCAAACGTCTGAGCTTGTGGAGCTTGCTTAGAAATGGCTTCCTCTTTGCACTGTAGAGTTTCAGCTGGCAACGGCGGATGGCACGGTGGATTGTGTTCACTGACAATGCTTTCTGGAAGTATTCCTGAGCCCATTCTGTTATTTCCTTGACAGTGGCATTCCTGTTTGAGGTGCAGTGACGTTTAAGGGCCCGGAGATCACGAGCATCCAGTAGAGTTTTACGGCCTTGACCCTTACGCACAGCAATTGTTCCAGATTCTCTGAATCTTTCGATGATGTTATGCATGGTTGATGATGATAACTTAAAAGTCTTTGCTATTTTACGCTGGGTAACACCATTCTGGTATTGCTGCACTATCTTTCTGCGCAACAAAGGTGGAATTGGTGATCCTCTTACCATCTTGGCTTCTGCGACACTGACACTCTGAGCAGCTCTTTTTATACCCAATCATGTTGTCAATTGACCTAATTAGTGTTAATTGGTCTTCCAGCTGTTCATTATATGCCCAATTTCCTTTTTCCAGCCATTTATTGCTACTTGTCCCAACTTTTTTGGGATTTGTTGACACTGAAATTTTGAATCAACATATTTTTCCATTAAAATGTTACATTTACTCAGATTAAACTTTTGTTCTGTCATCTATGTTATATTACGAGTAAAATATTGACATTTGCCATCTCTACATCACAGCATTCAGTTTTTATTCACAATTTGTTAGTGTCACAATTTTTTTGGAATCCGGTTTGTACTCATAAAAACACTTCAATACTTCAAACCGATACCACGTTTATGCTTAGTTATGTCATTTCCTCTTCCAGTTTGCAAGTAACTGATGACAAAAATATGTCCATAGTTTAGATATATTTTAAAATAAACACAGAAAGCAGACTGTTCGCTGTGTTCTTAATAAAAGAAATGGGTTTCTAAAGCCACTGTGTAATGTTTAAATACTAATTTTTTAACTTTTCAGTATCTGTACTCAGTTTTGGCAAGTACCCAACGTAAAGAACTTGTACTTGAAATTGGTTTGTAAAAAAATGGCACTTGCACACCCCTAATATTTATACACAGTGCTGTGGGAAATGAAATCACCCATCTCCACTTTTCTTCTGTTTTTGCTTTTCGTCCACCTATTTGTGTCAGATCCTGGTGGTCACAAGTAGAACTCTGAGCACTCTGTGCACACTGAGCAGAAAAACAGCTGAAGTGGGGTATGGCTTAGACATTTATCCAACCTATCAGTTGAAATGTTCCTTTATTTTTCTTTGCTCAGGTGACTGTTAGCTGACCACAATGTGAATATGTTTACCTGTTTTTTTCTGTAGAAGCCACTAGTGTCACAGTTTGGTATGTAGATGTCCCAGTCAGACTGAAAGACGGTCAGCTCCAGACCCCTCAGGACACTGTTGAGCAGCTTGCGACAGGGTGCCTGAAAGCAGCAGCAGAGAGTGAGACCTAAGACATCAACAGAAGCAAAAACAGAGAGGCAGCGACAAGCTGCTTTCTCCCCTCAGGTGACTAGAGCAGAAATAAGCCACAGCTACTATGATGCAACATTACAGGCAGCAGCAGAGAATATTTAGTGTCTGCAGACGAAAGGCAAACATGGATGATAATGTTTTCTCTCTCTGTGTCTGGATTTACACCAATTGATTACCTTTCAGAGTCAGCTCATTTCAAGATGGATTTCAAAACAAGGTGACTTTAAAAATATATAAAAGCCTGTAACACCTGCAGATATTGTGCTAGAGCTTGGTGTGGTAGTACATGAGAGTCATTCCCAATTCATAGACTGAGCACTAACAAATTGTGAAAAGTCTCTGTTTAAAATTTTGTCATAGACACATTGTTAAAATTGCTGTCTATGTGTTAGCAAAATTTCTCATGGATCACTGAGAATTAACAAAAATTTCTAGACATAATCACTGGATGTACTCTATAAGTGAATACAGATTGGAGCCAATCCAACTCTAGATATTCAAGAGTCAGCTGTTCTTTTGGCTGCTCCGTTCTACAGGGCTCGCCACTGCCAGTGAGCTTACAGGTTAGATTTGGCAACTCATTCATGTTGGATGTCCTGCCTGACAACCTACGCTTGAACTTGTTACATCTGAGTGACCCTCATTGCACAAGATTTTTGTGTAAAACTTTATATCATATCACTGAACAGATTTTAATGAAACTTTCAAAAAGTAGTTTGATGAATTTCTACAACTTAATGTCTTTTTGAGTCAGTCCAAATTAAGATGGCACCAGCAGCTAATTAAATCATTATGCTAGTCAGTGGCGATTTTAGCCTCTTTTGGGGGGTTCTCAGGCACCCCTAAATATTAACTCAGCACCCCTAAAATAAAAAAATAAAATAAAATAAAATAAAAAAATATATATATATATATATTTTTTTTTTTTTTTGTGGTTCTGGGTTTGGGGTTCTGTTTATGCTTCAACAGAAGCATTCACACTATTGTTTTTCTGTTTTCTTCTTTATCCTTTCCGTACATTTTTGGGCAGCTAACTACTCCCACAGTTTTTGTACTATTTCAACAATTCATATATCAAACCGTTCAGCTGTTTGAGGACAAGTCTGCTATGGCAATTTGGTATTGGTGCAACTTTAGATTCTTGAGGTATTTAGCCTCTTCTGCCATTTTAGCTCAATGAAAATGAATGGAGCTTGTATTACAACCTTAATAACTTTGGATCTGTTTACAACCTTGTACTGATAAGTTCACATTTAGACCTGGTTAATCTTCTTTCATCTTAATTGTGCAAACATTTTAAACAAAGTTCAGCTAGTTCAGCTAATTTTAGCTGTTGTTTCAGCTGTTTTGTGCTCCTTTCAGCCTAATTCATCTAACTTGAACATTTTTGTGCTTCTTAAAACTTATTTATACTAATTTCAGCTTGTTATGCTCCTTTCAGCTTATTTCTTCAAGTTTTAGCTTTTTCTTCTATTTCAGCTAGCATTTAGCTGTTTTTATGCTAATTTCATCTTCATCAGCTAATTCCACATTTTTTGCACTCATTTAAACTTTTTTTCCACCTAATTCAGCAAAAACATTCTCCCCCGACTTCCTTCTACAGTAATTTAAGCTGCTTTCTGCTTGTTTTAGCTACTATTAAGCTGTTTAGAGCAAATTTCAGCTTTTCTCAGATAATTTAAACGTTATTGTTCTAATTTATGCCTATTTGAGCCTTAGTAGGCACAATTTAACTCCCTCCACTTCCCTTTGGAAATTTAAGCTTCTTTCTAGATTTTTTTAGCTACTATTCAGCTGTTTTATAGAAAAACTGAGATAACTGCCATTTTTAGAGCTACTCAACTGAGAATTGGAGTGTTGCTAGCTGAGAACAGTCCCTAATAGGCTCTGACTATAAATCAGAAATCCAAGATGGCAACCTTAGCAAACAAAGGAAAAATACTATAAATCAGCCAATTTTAGTCATATTGAGCTAAAATTCGGTGTAATGATAGCTGACAACGTTTCCCATCAAATGCCACACCAAAATCAAAATTCCAAGATGGCCACCAACGCTACTTTGAATGGATTTAACTCAGCCATTGTTACACATACAGAGCTGAAATTTGGTGCGGCTATAGCTGAGAACATTCCCTGTCACATACTGCATCCAAATCAAAAATCCAAGATGGCTGCCTTAGCTAAAAAGGAAAAAATATGATAACTCGGGCATTTTTAGATCTTTTCAGCTGAAATTTGGTATATCGATAGCTGAGATCAAACCCAAACGCATAGTACTGTCAGATCAACAGTTTATATCGGCAGCAGCCTGGCAGTCCATTATGTTAGGAACAATTGTGCATGTTCTGCTTCCTTCTGATATTTGAAGCTTCGTTCTGGTGTTTTAAGCTACTTTCCAACTATTTTCTTCACATTCTTAAGCAAGAAGCATTCACACTTGCATTTTCGCAGGGAATGCAAAATCTCTAGTTGCATTTATGAGTCAATGCAACAAAATAGACACATTTAGAAGGTAACAGATCATTGTAATACTTGGTTTATTTACATCATGACTTTAATTGCTGGATGTCCGGCCCCTGAGCTGCTGGCTTTCAGTAACTGTGACCCCCTGAGCAGTTTAGTTGAATAGCCCTGTTTTAGAGGGTGGAATACAGGTTATTCAATTTCCAAAACCTAAGCTGAGTCTGGAAGAATGTAAAAGATGATAAAGCCCTGCAGCTGACCTTCTGAGCAGCTGATTATAACAGTGATAAACAGGAAGTACCGCATGTTCATCTGTACAAAGGTAACTGCAGGTAAATCCTCCATTTTCAGCCATAAATACGTTGTGTGCTTAATAGTTAAATTAAATGTTAATGCTTAAAGCTAGTTGTGATTTGTTTTATGTGTTTTATATGTAGAAATATGTTGCAGCTCGGTTGCATAAGTTTAGTCTTTGTTTGTTATGATCAGTTAACACTATGATTTTGTACAAAGTTTTCTCACAAGTCAAACCAGCCACCTGCCTCTTAGACTCAATTCCCTCATCACTTTTTCATTCATTTGATAGATTCTTTGAGAATGAAATTTTAAACATTGTAAACTGCTCTCTTCAGATGGGTGTCTTCCCCATTGCCTGTAAAATGGCTGTGGTGAAGCCCCTTCTGAAAAAGAGTAATCTAGATCCTAATGTTGTTTAATAAACCTGTATCCAACTTACCATTCTTAAATACAATCTTAGAAAAGTTTGTTTTTATTCAAGTAAATAATTTTTTTAATGATACTGGTATTTTAAAAAAGTATCAATCTGGTTTTAGGACGAACCACAGTACAGGGACAGCCATATTAAAAATTGTGAATGATTTAAGGAGTAATCTGGATTCACACAAGCTGTCAGTTCTTGTTCTATTGGATCTGAGTGCAGCCTTTGATACAGATCATCAAATTCTTTTAAATGGATTACAACACCTGGTCGGTCTTTCTGGTACTGTTCTTCTGTGGTTCAGCTCCTATCTCACAGATAGAACCTTTATGGTAAGTATGGATACATGCTCCTTGCAAATCCATGAAGCCAACTATGGTGTCCCCCAAAGCTCTATTTTAGGTCCCCTACTTTTTTAATTTGTACATGTTGCCGCTTGGTGGAGTCATCAGGTGCCATGGGATAAGTTTCCATAGTTATGCTGATGACACACAGCTATACATCTCATTATCTTATGATGACCCCCGGCCAATCACTGCACTTTTTAACTGCCCAACAATTTTCAGTCAGGTCATCTGGACAGTTTCTTTATTTGCTCAAACGTTTCATCTTCCATCTGGAAGGCTTCATCAGTCAAAAAAACACACAGCACAAAACTCATTCTTCCCCAAACATCAATCCATCCATCGTCTTCCACTTATTCCGAAGTCGGGTCGCGGGGGCAGCAGCTTGAGCAGGGAGGCCCAGACATCTCTTTCCACAGCCACCTCTTCCAGTTCTTCTGGGAGGATTCCAAGGTGTTCCCAGGCCAACTGAGAGACATAGTCTCTCCAGCGTATCCTGTCTTTCCCGGTGTCTCCTCCCAGTTAGACATCCCCGAAGCACCTCTCTAGGGAGGCGCCCAGGGGGCATCCTTACCAGATGCCCTAACCACTTCAACTGACTCCTCTCGACGCGGAGGAGTAGCGTTTCTACTCCGAGTCTTTCCCGAATAACTGAACTTCTCACCCTATCTCTAAGGGAGAAACCATCTACCCTGTGGAGAAAACTCATTTCTACCGCCTGTATCCGCAATTTCATTCTTTCGGTCACTATCCAGAGCTCATGACCATAGGTGAGGGTAGGAACGTAGACCAACCGGTAAACAGAGAGCTGTGCCTTACAGCTCAGCTCTCTCTTCACCACAACGGACCGGTACAGAGTCTGCAATACTGCAGATGCTGCACCAATCCGTCTGTCAATCTCACGCTCCATTCTTCCCTCACTCATAAACAAAACCCTGAGATACTTGAACGCCTCCACTTGAGGAAGAACCTCACCCTTGACCTGAAACCTGATCCCCCAAACATCCCCCAAACAGTTTACTCCAACGTGGAACAAACCAGTTATATTGGTGCTAAGATGGTGTCTTTGGCACGCCGCCTCCTCTGGAGCTGGCCCTCTTCCTTGTCGACAGTCATGTCAAACTGGATCAAAACCAAAAATGTCCATGCTCAATAATCCAGGTATACAATCCAACTTTTTAATTGCATTTCAGACATAAAGTCCTGGATGGCACAGAACTTTCTCCAGCTAAACCAGGACAAAACAAAAGTTTTAATCATTGGTCTGGAGGTTCAAAAAGAAAATACAATTCAGAAATTACAATCTCTGTCTTTAAAACCTTCCAAAAAAGTAAGAAGCCTGGGGGTTCTTTTTGACTCTGAACTTACTTTTATTCCACATATCAAACTTATAGTCAAAACAAGATTTTACCATCTAAAGAAT